TTTTTTTTTTTTTTTTTTTTTTTTTTTAAGGAACCTCTTGGTTCTGGCTCCTGCCATTCTGGGGAGCGACAGTCCGGTTCCTATTCCCCCGGCAAGTCAAAATGGAATACATGAGGAACTCACGCACGCTCCTCCCCATTCTGGCTGGGAGGCCCGAGTGGACGGCATTGATTACTTCCTTGTGGAAGGATGTACCACCCCTCACCCCTGCATAAGTTAGCCTGTGTCGCTAAATCTGATTGCCCCGTGCAAGTCTAACTGACCCCAGTCTTGCTCCTCTCAGCTGTAATGCTGCTGAGTCTGTGTATTATGCTAGAGCGGTCTGGGACACTTTTGAGCCTCTTGAAATCCTTGAAATACTTCAGCCCGTTTGCCCTGATTTCGTCTGATCCCAACCCTTGTCTATTTGGCCAGGGGTTGTCTTAATCCTACTTGTCTTGAGTCTGTCTGAACACTAGACTCTTGAACCTGTCTGAAATCTGAATCTTTGTCTATTTCCCCACACTCCTCTCCTTTATAGTTGAGAGGCCCGAGTAGTCGGTATTGATTGCCTCTCTAGGAAAGGGTGTACCCTCTCTCCCCTCTGCCTAAGTTAGTCTATCTTCAGTTCCCCTTGGTCTTGTAAGTCTCCCTATTCTTGGGTCTTCTCAGCTGAATTGTCTTGTCCGTAAAATGGTTGGCTCCTGATCTCTCCTGGAGAGAATTGTCTGTCCAGAATCTGAACTTCCTATATATTCCTAGTCTATTGTCCGGGCTTTCCTTCTTATCCTAGCTTCTCTAAGCCCATGTCCTCTAAGGGTTTTTGGAGTCGCATTTGTAATTCTTAAACCCTAAACCCTAGGGGTTTTTATTAATCATCCCTTTCCTATTTGTTCTGGGTATCTTCGACCTCTTTTTTGGAGTATTCTAGGTTCTTCCTTTGTCAGTCTAAGTCCATTGTGATGGCTCTATTCTGTCCTGTCGCCGGTCGGTCTGGATCCCACCAGTCCGTAAAGTGAAGGGTTCTTCCTGTTATTTTGGCCAATAGTCCCTCCTTCAGCCATTTTTCTTCAAAATCCTTTTGTATTTTAGTCCTCCTTTGTTCCACTGTTTCCCTGTCCAACTTCTCTAGGGCTCGTTTCCATTCCACTCTGATTCCTGTTTCTACCATTGCTCGAGCCTCTTCCCACGATTCGTTTGTTGTTATCCTCTTTTTACCTATTGTGCCGCCGCATCGTGCTCTCCATATTACCCATAGGGTCGTTCTTCGCAGAAGCTCTATGATCTCTCTGTCTTCTTCGGAGACTATGTTTTCCTTGTCTATTGCTGTCAATAGGTAGAATTGGTTTGTCGGGAATTCGTTGGGAGAAAGGTTGGGCCAGGCTTTTTTGCATTTGGTCCACAGGGCTTTGGCTTGCCGGCAGTCTAGTAGGCAGTGGGTTAGTGTTTCCGCTAGCTGATCCTGGCACATTTGACAGTGTGCCGAGGGTTCTGTTCTATCCTCTTTTCTACGCCTTGCCTCTAACCAGGCGTTGACAGGGACTGCCATGTAGATTATCAACCACTGTAGACTTCTTACTCTGTGAGGTCTGATCGATGTATAGAAGGCCCATGGGATTGTGCTCAAGTAGGAAGGGTCTATTTGTAAGGTTTTTTCCCACCTTTCTGCTATGACTGGTTGTGGGTTTTCTAGTTTGCGTCTTAACTTATACCCTTTTTTCACCGTATATTCATGCAGTGCAATCCATTTCCTAGCTCTGCCCCTCTCTCTGTTCTGGTACCAACCSCACTYGTTGGGGTSGATTTCTAACTCTGATATGTCTTTGTTTGGCCTGAATAACCAGGTAGGAGTTTCTGTCCCCTTTCTTCCTTTCTTTTGTCTCTTCTGCTCGTTTTTTAGTTCTCYAACTTTTCTTAGATCCTGTAGACTAAAGTCTAAATTGACTAGTGTGACTTTTCTGACCAAAACTATTGTTTTGTCTGTGTTTTCTAGTTCATGTACTTCGAATCTAGCTATGCTCCTATCTGTTCCCTTGTGGCTTATGAATCGGAGGGCTATTGAGGGTGTTTCTTGGGCTTTCAATGTTGCCCATTCTCCTTTCTTCCAGGCTCTGCTCTTTTTTAGGGTTGCCCTCCAGGCTATTGGGATGCTGTCTTTTAGTATTTCTAAGTTTTTCTGTAAGTTGTGGTGACCTCTCAGTTTTGTTCTAAGTTCCCCTTCTGACTTCCATTTGTTATTTCCTTCATCCCATAGGTGCTCGATCTTTCATATGCCTCTCTCAACCCAGGTCCTCCATCTCTTACCACTCCCATTGAGGGACCATGTCTTTCCGTTTTGATCGTTCAGTAGATCGTTCCCAGAAAGGGGTTGTCTCAGGATTTCTTCCTTTGACTTTGGGCCTCTTTTTCTTTGTGGGAAGGCTTGTCTCCATACTGCTACTAGCTTTGCCCAATGTCCGCTTGGGGGGTCTGGGATTGGCATTCATCCTCCCTGTTTGGATCTGCTTCCTTCTCTTCTAGGTGTCCAGTATTTGTTCATGAGCCATGTATGGCCGTTGATGTTGTCATGTGCTTTAAATGGGAGCAGGTTCCTTATTTGATACAGGGCCATTTTCTGCCATGGTAGTTCCAATTTGAAGATTAGTCTCAGAATCCACTTTGTCTGGAGAGCTTTGTATTCTGTTGCGGGGTCAATGAGGCTGAGCCCTCCTTCCTCTGCTGGATTTGTTACGTATTTCCACGCGACCTTGGATATAAATTGGTTCTTGGATGCGTCCCCTGTCCACAGGTAAGCTGATGCCTTTTTCCTAAGGTCCTTCGTGAAAGTTGTGGGTGGATCCCACACTGATGCTATGTACCAGATCATGGAGAAAACTGATGAGTTGATGACTAGTGTTCTTCCCACCAGGGAACTGTATATCTTTTGTCATCCCAAGTACTTATTCATGACGACTGCGAGCAGGTTCGTTGCTATTGAGTTACTGGTCCCTGTCATGGTTAGCGATATTCCCAGGAATTTGAAAGGGGTTTGGCGGTCCAACCATTGCAATCCCTGTGTTGCTTCGGTGTCTGTTGGGGGGGGTGTCTCGGCGTGCCACCACCCAACCGTTTTCTTCCAATTTATCTTCATTTCTGAAGCTAATTGAAAAGCTTGCATGGCTCTCGCCAGTGCTTGAAATGAGGAGTCTGACGCTCTTATGAGCACCGTTAAGTCATCCGCGAACAGCATCACTGTTGGGAGTTGGAATTGGCCATTTCTTCCATCGTCCAAGGCTTGTAGTCTTTCTATCGAGGGGTCCTTCCTAAAAAAGGTGGCTATTGCCTCCATGACGAAAAGGAATATTGGGGCAGCCAGTGGGTCCCCTTGTCTGACCGACCTCGTCATTCTGTATGGTTCTGATAGGTGACCATTAACTTGGACTCTCCCAGTTGCGTTTGCGTATAGAACCTTCACCCATTTTCTAAAAGATGGTCCCACTCCCATTGTCTCCATGCATTGCTGTAGGAAGTCCCAATTTACCTGGTCATAGGCCTTTTCGAAGTCGAAGAAGAGTATCGCTGCTTGTAGTTTTTTGTCCCTTATTAGTTTAGTTGCCTCGTTCAGACAGATTACGTTATCTAGGATAAATCTCCCTGGGATGAATCCTGATTGGTCCATATGGAAGCATTTGTCGGTTACATTTTTAATTCTATTGGCTAGAGTCTTTGCTAAGATTTTATACGCTACTGGTAACAAGGAGATAGGTCTGTAGTTTTTGATGTCTTCCCTTTCCATTTTTTTGTAAAGTAGAGTTACTATCCCCGTGCTAACGTCTTCTCCTAGTCCTCCTTTCTTATAGGCTTCCTGATAAATGCGCAAGAGGTCGTTCCCTAGCAGTGGCCAGTGTTCTTGCCAGAATTCCTTTGTTAGCCCATCTATGCCTGGAACCTTGTTCGTTTGCATGGAGTCCAGTGCCCTATGTACCTCAGCTAGAGTGAGGTCTTTGTCTAGATAAGCTATTGCTTCTGGTTTGATACAGATTTCTAGGTGTCTCGTGAACTTGTCCCTTGCCCTCTTTATCTCTCCCCTGTTGTCGTTAGAGGATTGTGAAGTGTATAGTTTTTTGTAGAAATTTGTAGCTATTTGTGGCAGGTCTTGCTGTTGGCTTTTCAGTATCCCTCTTTCATCTCTCAGCTCAAGAATTCTGTTGTTTCTACAATTGGATTTGATTCCTTGAAAAAAGTATTTCGTCATGGATCCATTACACTACCAATCCTTTATCCTTGCTCTGATACTCAGGCCCCTTCTCCTCCCTTCTGCCCATTGGGCCAATTCTTCTTTTGCTGCTGATAGTAGGGCTTCGTACATTGGGGAGCCTGGGTTGTTGGTCAAGTTATACTCTGCTGTTTCCACTAAGGATTCTAGGAGTTCTTGCCTTTCTCCTCTTCTTTTGGCTTCTCTTCTTGATTCCTTGCTTAGTTCTTTACTTACGTGTTTTAGGGCTTTTCCGAAATTCGGGTGTATGTTTTCCTCTTGTATCTGTAGTGAACATTCTTGCCATGATTGTTTTACCGCTTTTCTGAAACTTTCCAACTTCAGTAAAGAGTTGTGGATTTTGAAGAAACTCCGACCTTGTTCGTTGTCTACGCCAAAATTCGGCATTAAGCCTATTTGTTTGTGATCAAAGCCTCCGTAAAAAGGGGATCTGAATACAATGGTAGCTAGTACGGTTCCAGAAAGCGATTCAGAGATTAAGAAAAAATCGATTCTGGAAAAGGATGTTCTTCCTTGTTGGGTTTTCCTAGTGCACGTGAATCTCCTAACTTCTGGGTGTCTTGTCCTGAAAGGGTCTATTAGTTTCTTCTCTGTAATAAGGTCTATCATTGCCTGCGCCTCTGATTCATCGTATGGATCTCTCGCGTGGGAAACCCTGTCAAGTAGCGGGTCCACCGTGGCATTCCAGTCCCCTACCGCTATGATATGTCGGTGATTCGGGCATTCTTGTTTGATTGTTTCTATTAATTCCTTTCTTTGGGCGTTCGTGTTTGGAGCGTATATATTCAGTAGTGTTATTTCCTCTTGCTTATAGTTAAAATCCATCCTTATCCATCTGCCCCATGTGAGATCTTTGGTCACTTGGTTTACTTGTAGGTGGTGTAGTGCCTTGGATTTTCCGTTGAGGAGGATTAGTACACCTGCCGAGGCTGAATTGGGACTGTTTACCCATTCAGCTCTCCCTACGCATCTCAGCCTTCTCTCTATTTCGTGTTGTATGGCTTTGTGCTCTTCGAAATCAGTGAGATGTGTTTCTTGTATACAGACTATATCTGGAGGGTCGTTGTCAAACCACTTGAGGTTAGCTGTTAAACTAAACCGTTTCGCTGGGGACGTTAAAATGGTGGCCAAGCCATGAACGTTCCATGATCTTATGTCTAACTCTGTTTTTTTCTTTGCCTTTTTAAATTCCCTTCCCCCCCCACCATTTTGTTCTCCTCTCTCGTCCATGCTTCAGTGTCTCCGCTTCCCCAGTTCTAAAGGTCTGGGTGTGATCAAGGGAAGGATGCTGACCTTATTTGCAAGGTCGTCTCTTCTCCTTCCTCCTGCAGAACCATCAGTTTGTCCCCCAGTTCTTTCTGTCCCATCCTATGTACTTTCAGGGCGAAGGTAATTGCCAGGCTTGCTGCTGGTAATTCTGCCAGTACGCTTGTGCCCAGGGCTGTATAAGGCAGCTGTGAGATTTGCCACCAGGGTCTCCATTGGAGACTACCTTTCAAGGAGGTTCCTGGGCTGAATATGGCCACAACTGGTCTTACATCAAGGGAGTCTTCTCTGTCGTCGTTCTCCCTTCCATTGGTGGCGGGCACTCTCAGTATTGCACCTAACAATCCAATTTTGGTTGGTACTTTTTCTAAAACTGCAAATGTAAGCTTCTCCTTTATGCTTTGTCCCCTCTGGAGTCTGGGAAGGGCGAAGTTGGCTGCTGTGGCGATCTGCCACTCCTCTGTCAGTTCATCGAACATCATAGCCAAGATTGTTCTGGAGGGCAGGATCATCTTGCTTGTTGCTGCCGCCTTATTCCAGAATTCGGTCTGCGTGCATTCGTTCAGAGATCCCACTGTGACCGTTTTTAGCCTCATTTCTTCGTTCAAGTCTGCTAGTCTTTGGACTTGTGCTTCCAAGACTTCGGACTGTAACAAGAGGGATTCTCGCTCATTGATCTGTTCTCCTTGCTCTTGTTGCATCTGMGACTTGTTCCCGTTCTTGCCTTCTTCTCCTTGCCCCTTTGCATTCTCTCCTTGTTCTTTGCTTCCCTTTCCTTTGCCTCCTTTCGGGTTACCTTTCTTCTTTTCCTCCGCTTTCCTCTTTTTGTTATAGGTCTCTGGTAACTCGGGCATTTTGTATCTGTCCACTCTCCATCCTCCTTCTTCTCTCTGCTCTTCACCCCCCTCTCTTGCCTTTTGCTTCCTTGTCTGGTCCTTCTTGATTCTGCAATACTGTTGGGCATAGTATTCGACCATTTCTTCTTCTTCGTTCAGAGCTTCGTAGGGGTTGGTCGTGAGTGGGATCTCGTCTCCTCTTGCCTTCTCCTCCTCTCTCACATAAGCCATATGTAATTCGAACATACTTGCCCTCTGAGCTTTCATTACTTGGATGTATTCCTTGATCTTCTCCCACTCTTCTTCCTCCTGCCCGTGATGGTATTCCTCCTCTGTTTCCCTTCCCATAGCTTCTTCTTTTGTGATTTCCTCTCCCTTTCTTTTTACCCCAATTCTCCTGTCCTCTGTCATTTCCACATCTTGTTCTCCTGTGTTCTCCTGATCTGCAATGGTTTCCTTTCTTTGCCCCGTTCCTGAGTTCCCTTTGCGCGTGTATTGTATCACTGTGCTGCTTGTTGCGTTGTTCGCCGCTGGGTCTGTCTGCATTCCGTCCGATCCTCTTTCTTTGACCACTTCTGTCCATCTTCTTTCAACCAGTTCTCCTGTTTCGTCTAGGTCCATTTGGAGGTCTCTCAACCTCCTCTCTTCCTGGACTCTTTGTTTGTTTAGAACCTGGTCTGTTGTGAAGATTTTGGGGGATTTTCTGCCTACATTCTTGGTTTGCCAGCTGCTGTCTGAAGGTGGGTAGATGTCTGGCCTTTGCGAGGGTGCTCCCTCCAGCACCCAGACCCAATCTGGGGTCTCCAGATTGTCGTTGAAAACCCATCCGATATATTTGGCATCCCTGACAAACCAGAAACCAGGCTCCCCTTCTACCTCTTCAAGGCTGGTTGGTTTCAGCGGTTGTTCCTTGCAGAGTCTGCGTTCTTTGGGCATCTTGGATCCGTTCCCATATGTCCTCTCTGCCTGCACTTGAAACATACTGGATTGCTTTTGGTAGAGACTTCAACCTTCACTGTTTGGTCTCTCACAGCAAAGTGCCAGAATTCTGGTAATTGCGGTGGTACTGCACCTTGGGTGTTCAAACATGCCATCATGGTGTCGTGTTGAGGTATCAGGAAGTCTGGTGTGGGTGTGATCCAGTCTATGATTGGGAATTGTCCGTACTCTTCCTGGAGTCTCGCCTTGATTGCACCGTGCAGTCCTTCCCTTATCCCGTCGAACTGGATCCAGAAGTATTTCTGCAACAGTTGCTGTCGGTATCTGGAGGGCGAAGCCTGCGCTGCCTTGGCTGGCGCCCAAGGGTAAACAGTAACCACTGACGAATTGCAGGTGAAGGATTTATTCCTGAGAAATTCGRTCTGTTTTTCATCTTTGCAAACAACCATTATCGTGTTCCTACCCCTGCTGTGGAAGGTTACTTTCSGATCTGTTCCTGGGATTGGTTCCATTTGCTTGAGTTTTTCCCATAACCACTTCAGTTTTTCTGCTCTGTTGAGTTCTTGGCTTTTCCTGGAGAAGGTGACGAGGACTGCATGTTTGGCGTAGAATTCGTCCAGAGATGGCAGTGACTCTSTTGGGTATTCCCATRCCACCACTTCTTCCTTTATTCCWTTTCCCACGTCTACCACCTCYRTTCTTTTGGTCATCTTCACCTTTGTTCTCTCCGCTAACCAATTMTGGGTTTCTATGCCYWGTCCTTCCTTCGCCATTCTTTTCTTTCTTGGCTCTCTTTCTTGACTCTCTTTCTCCTTTCTTAGCTGGTCTCCCTGGATCCCTCCTTCAGTCCTCAGTGTCCTGCCCGACTTGTTCTATTTGGCGTCTGCTTATACCTTGTGTTGGTTTGAGGTTTGTTGGGGGACAAGGTGGCGTTGATGTGTCCAGTGGTTCGATGATGGCGAGTGGGAGATGTTAAGGTGGTGCCTGTTGTTGGGAGTTGGAGTCGGGGCTGTTCTCTGGGAGGATGCGGAGAAGTGGAACCCTTGTGCTGGAGCCAGTCTCGCTGTCCCAACTTCAGGAGATGGGGTTGGGTCTAGGTAGATGCAGGTCAGAGGTTATCTGTCTGCATTCCCTTTCCCCATTTGGGGACGAGATTCGGAAATCGACTGGCGAAAGGGAGCTCGATTGGTGGAAGCGATCTAAAGGAAGGTTCGCGATTGCAGGTAGTGAAGTGAGAAAAAAAAAAAAAAAAAGGTGATGATAACAGTAATAATTAAATAATAATGAAGGCAATGGTATAGTACGACTAATCAACTTATTAATGCCAGTAATAATGTTATCAAAAGAATCTTGAAGATTGAAAAGTTCTTAGAAAGGGAGTGATGATGATAGTAATAATAGTAAAAGAATAATAATAAGAATGTAAAAGAATTGTTTGTGTTGATAATGGCAGGCAGCAAAAATTCTCTGTTCGTTCTGGTTCTCTGGTCAGTCCGTCTAAAGGTAAGTCCGTCTATGGCAATCCTTCCTTTCCTCTTACGTTGGATCCCTAGGCTAGATCCCTCTCGCTTCTCTTCTCTAGCTACTCTCCCACTGCATTTTCTAAATCCTGAGCGCTAAACTCAAGACGTTCGGATCACTCGCTACCCTCTCATCCTTCTACTATGGAGCGTTCGGTTCCCCTCTCAATACGCTCGCTACCCGCCGCTTTCGCTGCTCTCTCCTTACTCTTGTTGTGGCGTGTCTTGATCTCCCTCTGTTGCGCTTCTTACTACTTCCCGTTTTCTCCTATTTGGTTGTGCTGCTGCTTGGCTTGTCTTCCCTATTAGCTATGCTTTTACCTCCTTTTTGTCGCCTTCGACTCTCCTTGTTCGTTGGAGCCCCGTGATGATGCTTAGGCGAGCCTTAGTCGTGCACTTACCTCAAATGGGATGGTTGCGTGAGCTTGTGTATCACCTTCCTTCTCGATTAAGAACTTGGTGTGCTTTCGGCTGTAAGTTGCCGTTTTCCTCTTCGCTGTCGTGTTTTCCTCCTGTTCTGAGCTGTTCTTTGTGTCTCCCTCCTTTGCGTCTTCCTATTTTTCTCCTCTCCTTGTCGTGATGCCACACTATTTCTTCCTCCCTTTCTCCTCTCTTCCTTGGCCTCCCTACCTCCTCACACTTCTCTGCTTGGGTTATTCTCCTCCCTTCTTGTCTTTTCGGGTTTGGGGTTGGAGAGTGCCGCGCCCATAGGCGCGGTTTTGCTAGCTCTGGTTTGTCGTATTCTTCTCGTCCCTTTCGCGTTCCCCGACCGCAATGAAGTGCAGCTTGGATTTCTTCGCGCGTGATGGCGTGTTCTCAACCCTTGAGCTTCCCCGTTATCGCTCTCCTTCTCCCTCGCTGCGAAATTCCCTATTTGGTAGTCTCCTCATTCCCCCTGGCTGGCTCTCCTTTTCCTTTCCCGTTGCTTCTCTCTTTTCCCTCTTCGGGAAAGCTCACTTGCCCTTCCTCCCCCTTTCCCTCGATTTTGCTGTCTTTTCCTTACTTTGGCTACTATATTCTTCTCTCCTTTTACTCATTACTCCTCTCCCCTGTCTCTTCCTCTCTTCGTCTTCAGCCGTCCTCCTGTCTCTTTTCTACGAATAGCCTCGCCCAAAGGCGAGGCGAGGAGGCGTGTGAGCTCGCCTGTCGTTTCCCGCCCTTTGACCTCATATTCAAAGGAGATGGCGCGCGCGATAAATCGCGTGCGAAACGAAGTTTCTTGCCGGGTGAAAGTTGGCACGGGCGTGCGGGTGCGGTAACTTAGCGCAATGAGTTTAGCGCTTACCGCGGCGCTAGTGCAGTCAAGAAAAAGTTCATCCTGGCTCCATTCTCTTCCTAAACAGTTCTACCCTATCCTACTTGTAGATTCTACACTACGCTAGCCTAGGGTCTACCGGTACCGGTTCAGTCAGGGCCTACTCGGCCTCTACGAAACCGGTCCTAGTGTTGCACTTAGGGCTCAGGGCCACTTAGGGACGGTAACCACTCAGCCCTTACGGGTGTTAGTCCCATCTATTTTTAGAATAGCGGGCGGCCCTCAGCGCAGACCAAAAACACAGCAAGCACACAGCATATTGTACAACCTTGCAAGTCAGTCTCGGCAGTTGAAATCAGCAAGTCATTGCAGGCTTACCCCCCTGGGGAGCGAGGACCTCCGAGCTAGGGGTGCAGACGAGGTGAACGGCGAGGAAGGTTGCCCTTCTGAGCCGCTTCATACTGCAAAACAACTGACTTTGCTGTCTTGAGAAGTTCCCTTCTGTAGAACCATATGTTCTCAGAAGGAGGCTGGAATGCGAACCTCACAAGATACTGCCGATCGGGGCCTGTGCCCCACTCATCCTCAATCCACTCCATGTCATATCCCTTGCCAGGGATCGGTGGACCGAACTGAGGGGACCGGTCAGGGAATGCATCAGCTGGAGTAAATGGCAACAGCTTAGATGCATGAAAGACCGGGTAGGTGCGTAGATGCAGAGGGACGTCAATGACATAGGACGGACCGAATGGATCGGCGCCCACTGTATCTAGGACCTGCCATGGACCCAAATAACGAGGCAACAGCTTGGGGGAGATATTCTCCTCCCTCGACAACTCTGAACTGGCTACCCAGACATGATCACCAGTACGGATGGGGGAAGGCCGCCTGTGGCGATTAGCTTGTTCAATCATCGCCTTTTGGGCTTTGAACAAGTTCGGTCGTGCTCTTTCCACATCTATGCGGTAGCGTCTGGTGAACTCTGCAGTGCCTAGAGTCACATAAGACTTGGCCTTATCGATGATATCATCGAGAGGCTGTCGTGGTTCACGTCCCCAGTGCAACCGGTATGGAGTGAACCCAGTTGAGGAATGGACAGACATGTTATACACAAGCTGTGCTCGAGACAAGTGAAGATCCCAGTCCTGTTGATCTGGAGAGATGACAGGACGCAGCAATTGGAATAACACTTGGTTCATCACTTCAGCCAAACCATTGGCTTCAGGATGATGACCAGAAGTCATATCCAATCGTGAGTGCAGGTAGTCCTTACAGTAGGACTGCCACTCCTCGCTGCAAAATCGGGGGTCTCTATCACTGACTATAGAAGTGGGCGGTCCATGGTGTGTGACCGACCTCTCTGAAAAGGCTGCTCTCACAGCCGGTACCCTAGCTACCTCTAGCAAGGGGATGAACTCTGCGTATTTGGAGAACCTGTCCACGCAGACCATACCTGACGCATGCCGCGAGGGGTGGTCTTGCCTAAATCTGTGAAGTCTATGGACACAGATTCAGCAGGGCCGTCAGGTATGGGTAAGGGTTTGAGCAGTCCCAAAGGAGGTCTACGCTGGACCTTATTCCTTTGGCAGAGCTCGCAGGTTTCCACATAGCGCAGCATATCACTCCGCATCTCCTTCCAGAAGAACCGCCGCGACAGGGCTGCATATGACTTTAGGAACCCAAAATGTCCACGGGCGTCATGACACTCTGACATCAGCAGTGTCCTGAGCCGCTGGTTTTAGGGAATGCACAAGCGCTCCTCCCCTCTGCTGTAAGTGTACAGCAGGCCTGAACTCAGAGCATAGCCTGGTTCAGAGTTAGGATCTGCTTGCAGATTCCTGACTATGGGTCCGAAAGTTGGGTCCTGAGGCAGTAGACGAGCAATGGTCTGAAGGGTCTCCTCTCCAAAGGAGTGAGTAGAGGAGATCACTGCAAAAGAGCCAGGCCTACGAGAGAGGGCATCTGCTACCTTATTGTAGCAGCCCTTCTTATGTTTCAGTTCAAAGTCAAACATGTCTATGAACTGAATATACCGTGCCAACTTGTCATTCAACTCTCCCTGGGACTTCATCCACTGTAGGGTGGAGTGATCTGAGAAGATCTTGAAGTGCCTTCCCAGGAGAAAGTGCTTCCAGTGTTTCAGGGCACAGACAAGAGCATATAGCTCTTTCTCGTAGGTGGAGTCCTGGAGCTTTTGAGTTTTGATCTTCTCACTCATAAACTCTACAGGTTGTAGACCATTCCCATCATCCTGCTGAAGAACTGCCTCAATGCCATACTGACTAGCGTGAGTGGTCAGTATCAATGGCAGAGTGGGGTCAGGCAGCTTCAACACAGGTGCACGAGTCAAGGCCTTCTTGAGTCATGTGAAGGTCAACTGACAATGGAGGGACCAATGAAAAGGAGTGTCTTTCTTTGTTAGGTTGGTTAGGGGTGCAGCCACTGCAGAAAAGTTCCTGACAAACTTTCTGTAGTAGGAGGCTAAACCCATGAAGGACCTGACATCCCTCACTGTCTGTGGCGGAGGTCACTCCTGAATAGCAGCAATCTTGGCTGCTTCAGGAGCCAGGCCATCTCCAGAGATTACGTGACCCAGGTAGATGATAGAGGGAACTCCAAAAGAGGACTTCTCTCTGTTGATCTTGTACTGGCTGTCGCGTAATGACTCAAGAACCAAAGCCAAGTGCTCCGCATGTTCCCTGACAGTTTTGCTGAATACCAGGATATCATCCAGGTAGACAACCATAAACTTGTCTAGGTAATGCCTGAAGATGCGGTGCATCTCTGTCTGGAAGGTACCTGGGGCATTGCAAAGTCCGAATGGCATGACTAGGAACTCGTAAGTACCATACCTGGTCTTGAAGGCTGTCTTGTAGACATCCTCCTCAGCCATCTCAATCTGGTGGTAGCCAGATTTGAGGTCGACTTTGCTGAACACTGTGCAACCCTGCACCATATCCAGAAGGTTATCGATCCTAGGAACTGGCTCTGTACTCGTCCTAGTGATCTTGTTGAGACCCCTATAGTCAATGCACATTCTGAACTCGCCATTCCCTTTGGGCACAAAGAGAACGGGTGCACCGAATTCAGAAGTGTTGGGTCTGATCCAGCCCTTGCTGGTCAGGGTCTCGAGCTGCTTTCTGAGCTCCTCGAGCTCGGCAGGGGACATCCTGTAGATGCGGCCCTTGGGAGGGACCGCTCCAGGTAGTAGCTCAATCCGATGTTTGGTTGGTCGGTTGGGTAACCCAAAGGGCTCCTTCATCAGATCAGCATACTGATCAACCACCTGCTGTATTTCAGGAGGGCAGGAAACAGGGGGAGCATCTGTTTGCTTGACCAGAGCAATAAACATATGCTCATGGTGATACTGGCATGAGAGAGCATGGAACTCCCTCGCTCGTAGGCAGTAGCAGGAGGTCTTAGGGTGATGATCAGCAGCTATCATGCATGGTTGATACACCCCCTGGCTGTTTGGTAGTTCAACTCTAGCCCTCAACCACTGCATAGAGAACACCAGGTCAAAGGGTAGGTCAGGGAAGATGTAGAAGTTCAGACTATGTCTGACTTCTCCGGCACTGTCGAAGGTCACAGGGATTCCCTTAACCTTCTCCCTGATGGTGAGCATTGTGGAGTCGCCTATCCTGACCAGCAAAGGTTGCTGCAGCTGTTGAACTTTCATCCCCAGATGCAGTTTCTTAACAGCACTGGGAGATATAAAGTTCCTGGTGGCTCCACAATCCAACAGCCCTTTGATCCTGATGTGGTTGATCAGGGGCCGAAGTAGGATGAGATCAGACTTGTGCTTCTTCTGTTCCTTCAGGTGGAAGAAGAAGGCAGCGAGTGACTGAAGCTCATCCTGCCCCGGGTCCTGATCCGGGTCAGGATCCTCATAACAGAAGGATGCTGCCCACGCAGTCCCCAAACGCACTCTATCACATGCAGTCTCAACTGAAACAATTGCAGATTCATCCACCTGTGCAGATGAAGGTGCAGCACTGGGGGGAACTGCAGTCCCCAGGGTCTGTTTCAGTTTTTTGACTGTCCTGGGCCTGGCATGTAAGGCCAGTCCTTTAAGAAGTGTTGTCCCTCACATTGCAGGCAGACCCCTCTCTCTTTTCTCCTTCTCCAGACTCCTTCCTGGATCTTGAGGTCTTGCCAGGGGAGAGTGGAGGGATTGAGTGGGTCAGCTGGCATCCGGACGTCTTTGGGTAGGTTAGGGCGCTGGGAAGAGGAAGGCCGACGTCCCTTATCCTTCCCCTTTGCACTGGCTGAGGCTGTGGTGGGGGAAAACCTCTTCTGCTGCTGCAGAATCCCCAAAACGGCCTGAGTCAGGGCCGCTGCAACATCTGTTTCAGTAGCTGGCCCAGTCCCAGTTGATGGTGTATCAGCCTGGGAATCTGAGTCAGAAGCTGACGCAAACCCTGCATGTGCAAAGGCTGCCTTTCCATTTCTACCACCACGAGGGAAGGCACCTTTCCTCCTGTCAGAGGAGGGGGCCTGAACATGAAGTTTTGCCTCCATGTCCAGGGCTGCACAGCCAAAGGACCTCCAGTCCTTGTGCCCAGCGATGTATGAAGCAGCAGAAAACTTCTCAGGGGCTGCCCTGCAGAAGTTTGTCAGTAAGTCATCTGCAGACATAACCAGTCCAGGTGTGGAAGTTAGCTGCTCAAACTCTGCAAATAAGGACTTCAGGGTACCGCTGTAACGTTGCTGGCCCAGGCGAGCAATCCTGTCAGCAGCCTTGCGGGCCCGCTCCTTATCTGCAAAGCGGTCTCCCAGGGCCTGCAGAAGACGATCCACTCTCAATCCCAAAGCCCAGTCCTCCATGGTTTGCTGCAAACCGCTGGAGGTAGAGGTAGCCCATTTCTGGGCAGGCCCCTCCAGCAGCCCCAAAACCGTTGCCACCTTGGTCTGTTCTGGGCATATGAAGCCTCAAGTAGGCTCTGGTCCCTGCAGCCCAGTCCCCAACGTCAGTCTTGGGGTCATCCCCCCTGAACTTGTTGGGAGCAGGGATCTTGGGACCTCTCTGATCCCTTGCAGCAACAGCAGCATAGGTGGGTTTGGCTGTGGGCTTCTGGGAAGGAGGTGGTGAAGGGGAGGAATGTCGTGAAGCAGATGGGGTTGAAGAGGGAGAGGAGGAAGATTTGGGTTTTGCTGAGAGGGCAGGAGACAGGGGAACGATCAGTTTGGCTGCTGTCAGCTGAGCAGTCAGATCCTAAATTGTTGTCAGGATCTTAGACTGCTGAGCTGCCAGGTCATCCACCCTGCGCTCCAGACGACCTATACGGTCATCCCAATTGGTGAAATAAGAACTGGTGGCCTTGTGCTCCAGAAGAGCCCACTCCGCTAGATTCTTATTCACCTGGGAGCAGTGGTCTTCAGACATAACCTTGCCAAGCTGCTCCAACAGGTACTCCTTTCGTAAAGCATCTGTTGCAGCCTCTAGCTCGGCTGCCTCCTGTCTCTCCACTTCGTCAAGCAGGGCCTGCTCCTGCTGCACCTTCTACCTTCATTACCACTTCCACCTGTGGCTGCTGCTGAGCCGCCTGATCCGACATTTTCCTCTTTCAAGAACACAAGGTAAACAGACAACAGAGAGTGGGCAGCGATATGCAGATCCCTTCAGGCACTCAGAAATCGCTGCTACCTCAATCACAAGAGTCAGGTGGGTGAGTAGGCACAAACGGTTTGGGTTGGAACTGTTTCTCTGGGGTCAGGGGTCAGACAGACAGTTAGTCCAGCAAAATCAATCACACGATTTCCTTTTACTGACCTTGCACCACACTGGAATTAGTAAACACAATCCACTACTCTTCCAGAGAAACACTAGATTTCCAGTGCCCACTAGAAAGCAAGAGAAATCAGTGGGAATGATAAAAAATGGCAAGTACAGACTAGAAAGATCACGTAAGCAGAGCGATTCAGTCAGGAACCCTGAATTCCAACTCAGCCTCAATTTTCGACCCTGATGACTCTGGCAGCCATACCCTAGGGTATGGCGAAGTACAGTATTCACTGTTTCCAGTGAAATACTAGAAGTCCAGTCTAGCGCTTCTGCAAGAATGACTGTTTTTGAATTGCGATTTACTGGGGACTGATAGAATTGAATTATGACGGACAGAATTGAAGTTATGATTGACCCTAGATAGCACAGGCTATAAATAGATTCAGCGCAAAACTACAATTCACAGTATCACTACTTTTCCAGTGCAGGATTCACAGTCTGAGCATCCCAAATCCAGCGCAATACTGTTAAGCGGTCACAAAGCAATTTTGGATTGAAAAGATTCAACAGAGGATGAGAAATGAGCAGAGGAAGGTAGGGGAGAGATGGCTATGGCTGTCATGCAGTCTGCGATTTTCACATCCAGTCACTGACAGACAGATAGACCATTATTACTGACTAATCTAATCCTATATGAATCGCTATACAGGTAGGTGCATGGAACAGACTCACTTTCAGAGTATCTGGCAGAGGTTGATGAAGATCTGGCTACCCTCATCTCGCCAGTGTCTTCCAGAGCTTCTTCCTCACTGTCCCACGCACAGAACTGCTTCAATATTGTTGATCTTATTCAGGACCCTGATGCGCTTCAGACCCTTCAATCAGATTCACTGAATCTGACCCTGTGGCACCCAAATTGCCAACTGATGAAAATCTTGCCACAGGACCTGAGATCCGCTGATGCTATAAATAGCCCCAGATGGGGTTATTTTTACTTGTGATTGACACAGACTGTCAATCACCCTCAGCGCGACTCAGGGATGAAGCCGCTCAGCAATCCCTGAAGTCTCCAAGGGTATTTCGCCACTCAGGGGTACTTCGCACACTACCCCCGGGGTTGGCTATGGCGAATTGACCCTGTTCTCGCCACTTCCAGACAAGCGCCCTGACAGGCCCAGTGCGCTTGCTCAGTACAAGCACTGCACTCTTGAATCCACCGCTTGAAATCTTCTTCCTTGTTGACTCAGTACTAGGGAAGATGAATCGCCATGAAACTCTCGCCAATATCTCGCCAGGATGAAGAAGATGCCCTTTGCACTCAACCCTTAGTGCTCCAATTCCAATCTCGCTCCGATACCAACTGTTATGAACTTGGTTGTCTGACGATTTTTACCGCCACTCACACACAGACGATCTTATACACGCCCATACATGCACAAGAGAAGGGGGAGAGGAGACAGAGTCCAAACTGCACACAGATCAGAGTAGATAGCGGAAGCACAACCATGCACAGATGGGGAGAGGACASACAWTGTTTCTCACTCTCTGACRATACTCCCAACAACCAATCACAAKAAAGAACCTGCGAAGATAACAAKTGGAATACACACTGATGATGAGCCAAGTAACCAAAAATCGTTACAGAGTTTGTTCCAGTATCTCGCCAYTCTCAGAACCTCACACTCCACTCTCTACCCTACACCCAGTTAGTAGCGCCACACTGAATGGCCTCCCAGAGGCCAGYGCCAACCACCCAGATGAAGAACAGATCCTGCGATGAAGTCTTCAGTGCCGCTGAACAACTCTRACGAAGAACCGGCAGCTATGGCTGCCGCCACCCACATAGACTCAGTGAGGAGTCTCCACACAGCCCAGCCACTCGCAGAAACCCACAKGGTTGATGCGCAGGGGATGCCCCAGCTAKGGCAAGCCCTTAGCAGGCTGGCTATGGCTGCTGTCCACGGTGAGGGTCTCAGGGTACCGCCTGCAGACAATCACCGTTGCAACGCTCCTTGGCTCCAAACGTTGTATCGCGAAAATGAACTGCCAAAAGGTCCTAAACAGTTCTACCCTATCCTACTTGTAGATTCTACACTCCGCTAGCCTAGGGTCTACCGGTACCGGTTCAGTTAGGGCCTACTCGGCCTCTACGAAACCGGTCCTAGTGCTGCACTTAGGGCTCGGGGCCACTTAGGGCCGGTAACCACTCAGCCCTTACGGGTGTTAGTCCCAGCTATTTTTAGAATAGCGGGCGGCCCTCAGCGCAGACCAAAAACACAGCAAGCACACAGCATACTGTACAACCTCGCAAGTCAGTCTCGGCAGTCGGAATCAGCAAGTCATTGCACACAAGTGACAATGTTGGAATAGTCTCATCATCATCAACAATGAACCAATGTCGATTCCCTATCTGGCGCTCTGCGCCCAGACTTCAAATGGCAGATCCTATCTTACCTATCCTCAATGTCGCTGGTGACGTCAACAACTCCCCGAAGTTCGAGCAGCTCTCGGCCAATGCCGTTCGCCTCAAGCACTCGCATCACTCACAACCTCAATCCCCCACAAAGATGCCACATGCTCCCAAGGACCACTATGTGCCCCATCCAGCACCTCGCAGGCCAACTCGGCTATGGTTGCCTGTGTGTCCCTTGTTCGCCCGTGAGCACGTGGGCACTTGCCTGCCAGTAGTGCAGCATGTAGCGAGTGCCAGAATGTCCAGTGCGGAGGCAGGCACTTTCCTATATGGAAGTGTCCTGCCTGCTGCATGCTGCCTGGCTATGCTAGTATGCTGGGCCCCTGCCCAGAAGCTTCCGGTAGGCCCCAAGTGGCTGAGCCCCGGTCCAAGGGAATCAGACACAGGGCCTAGGGTGGTTACCCGTGTCCAACTGTCAGCGGCCTGTGTGCAGTCCATGCACCGTGTCTAGCCCAGGGCCTGCCTCAGATACATTTGTGAAAGGAAGGCAGGGCCTGGGTTTCCTCAACCAACTGGCGTCTCGCAACTGCCTGAATTTCCCAGTCGCGTGATAAGCCAAAATAGGCCTCTCGTCCTGGGTCGGGCCTGCCTTCACTTAGGTAGGCCGACACTGCTGAAAACAGGGCCCAATAGGGATCCTCAAGGCCTTGAGCCTCACATTCCCTCCTCCATACTTCGACAATCCTCTGAGAAGTTCAAATTACTCAATCTGGCGCTTTCCTTTCTGCAGTGACTTCTCGTAATGAGCAACAGCCTGTGGAGCGGTCTGCATCAGTTCTTCCTGGGTAAACCATTTGTCCTCCTTAGGATCAGTGTGATGTCTGAACCGAAAGCGAGATTGCAGCTTCGGCTTAGGAGGGCGTCCCCTGCCTGGCGGTCTTGGAACTGGCATTTTTCTGTGGTCCACAATGTCGTCGATGTTGACCTCTCCATCCATGGTTGGGGGCAGCATTGAGCAACGAGAGGGAAACTGACCAGTTTCCCCGAAAGGTGCGAGCTTGGAGGCGTGAAAAACAGGGTAGGTGCGAAGGTGTCCAGGGATCGGGTTACATATGACGGCCCGTCCGGATCATCCCCGACAATGTCTAGAACCTCCCATGGCCCAAAGTACTGTGGCATGAGCTTGCAGGAGATCCCATGCTCTTGTCCTAGTTCAGAGGCTTTGACCCAGACTTTGTTTCCTACTTGGAATGTAGATGGGCGGCGATGCTTGTTCTCAGACTCTATAATTGCCGCCTGTGCTCTATGCATTTGCTCTACAACTTGCTGCATCAGGCATTCATATTGATAGGCAAATTCTAAGGTGCCTGGTGCAGCAGTCGGCTGGTTTTCCGGTGGTAGGAAGTCTAGGGGCAGTATAGGCTTGAAGGTCAGCAGCAGGCTGTTAGGACTCACCCCTGTTGCGCTGTGCACAACGTTGTTCTACAGACTGGCGATGAGAGCAAGTTTCTCATCCCAGTCCACCTGGTTAGGCTTGATATAATGCCTCAGCAGGTGTTGTACAGCGTGGTTCAGCTGCTCTGCTTGCCCATTTGCCTCTGGGTGGTTCCCAAAAGTCATCTGCAGTTGTGTTCCCTGTTCTGCAGCTGCAGCCTTCCACAACTCACTGGTAAATCGGACATCCCGGTCACACACGATAGACTTTGGAAGCCCAAAGTCTCTGACCCAGTTCTCTTTGAATACTCTAATCACGTACTCGGTCTTTGCTGTTTCATGCATTGCGACTAACCTAACGTACTTACTAAACTATCCACAATGTCGAAGATGTGTCTCATTCCGCTCTTGTAGGTGACCAGCGTGTCCATGAAATTCATGGACAGGCTTTCACCAGGCCTTTCCGGAATCGGAAGGGGCTTGAGAAGCCCAAGAGGGGCCTGTGTACGTGGCTTGTCCCTCTGACAGACCTGACAAGTCTCCACGTACAGCTTGGCGTCTCTCATCATTGTCGGCCACCAGAACTGTTGCAGCAGGTTGGCTGCAGTCTTCTTATAACCAAAATGTCCAGTGGCGTCATGGCACTCTCCTAAAAATAAACTACGCAAAGACTCCTGATTAGGTACACACATACGTTTAAACCCGACCTTCTCAAGGAACAGCAGGCCATTGACCATTACAAACTCGTCAGAAGTAACTTTGTTGTTCGCTTCGAGTCTGCTTATGATCTTTGACATAAATTGATCCTCGCGATAGGCTTCCACCAGGGGCTGAGTAACCTCGTCCGCACGCCCAAAGTCAGTGATCAGCGCACCCAGGAAGTCCGGCCTACGCGACAACACGTCAGCAACTTTCTTATACTTCCCTTTGATGTACTGGGTTCGTAGTCATACTGCTCAATGACTTCGATCCAGCGTTTCAGCGCATCGGAGAGCACTGGCTGGGTTCTCATCCACTTCAGGGTCTAATGATCAGTCATGACGTAGAAGAACCTCCCAAGGAGGTAGTGCCTCCAGTGGGTTAGCGCCTTGTAGGTCGCATAGAGCTCCTTCTCATAGGTGGACTTAGCAAACTTATGAGAGGGCATTTTTTTGGACATGTACTCGACTGGCCTCAACTTTGGCCCCTCCTGCTGCGCAAGCACGACGCCAATGCCATACTGGCTGGCATCCGCGGTTACTATGAATGGCTTGTTAGGATTAGGAAGTTTGAAGACCTCATGGTGTGTTAAGGAGTGCTTCAGATGTCTGAAGGCAGCTTCACACCTGTCTGTCCACTCCCATGGGGTGTCAAGGCGTGTCAGGTCCGTCAAAGGGGCGGCCACTATGCTATAGTTCTTTACAAAGTTACGGCAGTAGCCGGTCATCCCTTAGAAGGACCTCATCTCAGTCACAGACTGAGGACGCGGCCAGTCACGAATGCTGGCCACCTTCGCATCATCGGGCTTCAATCCCTCCGCGGAAATCTCATGACCCAAGTACAAGATCCGAGTGCGACCAAACTCACACTTCTCCCGGTTGATCTTGAACTGGTGCTGCCGAAGGAGGCTAAGGACTTTATCTAAATGGCCAACATGCCCCTCGACAATCCTACTAAAGATAAGTATGTCATCAAGGTACACGATGACAAACTTGTCCAAGTAGTCATGAAAGATCCGGTTCATGGCGTGCTGAAAGGTGCCAGGAGCATTGCAAAGGCCGAAAGGCATCACCACAAACTCGTACAGACCGTACCTGGTCTGAAAAGCGGTTTTGTGTTTGTCCTCAGGCCGGATTGCAATTTGATGGTACCCGGACTTCAGATCTATCTTACTGAAGTACCGGCACCCTTGCACTCGGTTCAATAAGTCATCGATGCGCGGTAGTGTCTCTGCTTTCTTCACAGTGATGGCATTGAGGCCCCTCAATGCACATCCTCAAGGTTCCCCCCTTCTTCGGTACAAAAAGGACAGGAGATCCATAAGGGGAAACACTAGGCCGGATCCAACCCTTCTCTTTGAGTTCCTTGAGTTGCCGACGAAGCTTATCGAGCGCAGCTGGAGACATCTGATAGATCCTACCCTTCGGAATACTAGACCCTGGGATAATCTCTGTCGCATGGGCGACCTCCCTCTCAACAACCCCTTTCGGCTCCTCGAATAGATAAGGGTATTTAGCGACCACTCCCTCTATCTCTGGTGGCATTTTCACCGGCTCGCCCTCTACAGAGACATAAACTAAGTACATACCCTCCTCCGGATTTTTGCTTATAATAATTGTAGAACACGGCCGCGCACATGCATCCTTAGGACTCGATCAGACTACTAGCTTTGAACTTACGTAATCTGGCGGTCCCCCCTCCGGGCAAAGTGTGTTTGACCACTTTTCGGTCGCAGTCAAATTGGGGTTGTGCAACCGAAATATAGTACATATCTAACAAGATATCCATTGAGAGATCATCGTTGACTAGGAATGAGATTCTATGTCTCAGTTCCCCTCCCGCGTATGGGAAATGACACTCAATGTCTTTAAGGTAGTATTGACTACCATGCGTTGTTTGTTGGCACAGGTCTACTCCACTGGTCGACTCAGGCGCTGCACTTGCCCCTGTAAGCGCAGCCTCTCAACGCACGCGCACTTGATAAAGTTCCTCGTCGAGCAAGTATCGTAAAAGGCCCCGGCCTTGCGGCCGCCTATATCTACCTCGTCGACGAACAACTCACCCTTAGAAGCTTAAGCCATGGCCGCCCAAGAAGCTAACGGGTCTGATCTAGACCACTCCTCCTCTAGCTCCTCTAAGGACTCAAACACACTCATCGAACAGAGGATCGATTGGTCCAAATGTGTTTGCGGGACAACAACGGAGTCAGTAGCTTGGGCCATCTCTCGAGATGGTGAGGGTGTATCCACCACCTCGACCCTAGTAGGAACAACTACAATTCCTACCGGCCCGACGTGTTTCCCGGTGCAGTGCCAGAACTGCTGGCGACATTGCTACCTATGGAAGCGGAGGAGACCGACGCCTGCCCCATCGTAGGCGGGATCTTTTCCGTCACCTTCTTATTCCGTCACTTGAATTGGTTATGGCCATACTGGCCACAACGGATACAACCCTGTTGGGTGTAACGGTCTCTCCGCACGTCCTCCGTAAGACCCGCTTTCTCCCATGGAGGAGCATTGGGGTCTACTTGACTCCTAGACCGGGAGCCTCCGCGACATCTATCGGCCGCCTTACCTTTATGCACTGAGGCAGCGACTGCTCCACCCCCTGAAACCTTTGCGCTGCCTGCCTCTGAGCCTACTCCTTCATGGAAGTCGTCGTCTAATTATATGGTTGATACATCGTTGTCGACGAACATTATGCGACCCTTCGCCTTCCAGTTAGGAGGCAGTGCCTTCTTCCTACCATCCGTCGTGGGTTGGTGCCCATGCCCGATCTTGGCCTCTAGATCCAAGGCCTTCTTGCTAAACGAGGGAAAGTTGTGTACGGTTATCATGGCCTCAACTGCCAACTGATTCCTGAGTCCTATGGGTAGACACCTCAGGTAGGTGGTAAGCAAGACCTGGGTGTCATAGCGCACTCCAAGTACATAGATCAAACGCTCTACTGTGTCTGTAGCGTCCCTTACTGACTTGAACGTTCTAGAGCTCGAAGTCAGGATCGCATCAGTGGCCTTTTGGGCCTCCTGCAGATCATGCCACCTTTCTTCCAACAGCTTAAGGAAGTCATCCAGTTTCTGGTTGATTGCCCAAGCGCGGAAGTCATGCCCGTAGCTTTGAAGTTCTACGTACCCGCTCAACCATCTGGCTGCACTCCCCTCAAGATAGGAGGCTGCCACAAGCACTTCCTCATGCGGCAAGGTTAACCTGCACTTCACATAAACCGACACCGACCTCAGCCAAGTGTCAAGGTCCTCACCCCTTTTATCTCCTGAGAAGGGTTTGGGTGACGCTATGGCAGTCTTAGGAACCCACTGACCTTGTCCCGGGACCTGCACCACTCCAGACTATGGACCTTTGTGTGCAGGCTGCTGCACTAGCTGCTGTTGGGGGTGTGTCCCATGCGGCTGTGCTGGCTGCGAGACAGCAGGCTGCCTGGTTACGGCAGTCTGCAACGGAGGTTGGGTAAACATTGTTTGGACAGGAACCCGTACAGTAGGACCTGCTGCTAACCCGCCTGTCAAAGGCATACCAAGTAGGGAAACGGCCTGCCCAGAATCTGGAGATGCTGTGAATGGGGATACTCCAGTCATCGGTGGGACAAAAGGAGGAGGTTGTACCACGGGCCAGACACCGGGCCCTGATGGTGATGGTGCTGCCTGAACTCGCCCGACCAGCATGGCCAGGCTCAGTTGAATGTCCTGCAAGAGCGACGTGTGGTAGTCCTGCATCTCTACTACATCTAGCAGGACTGTCCTCACGGTCCTCACATCCTCATCCATGTTGGTCAGGTCCATCTCCTCCAACTCTCTAATGTTCGCTTGACGCCGCTGCATCCTAGACCTTCTTCTGATCATTCTCTCTTTCTTTGCCTATATTTCATCTAACGCCTGCTGTAGTCGTGCCTCCTGGGCACTTGCTCTCTGTATGGCGATCTCCTTGGGAGTCAACACTAACTGCTGGCTTGCCATAACACCAGCGGACTGACTCAGAGTTTGTGCGACCGTCGCCCCAACCGTCCCTGAACTACTGGCCTGGGAACTCTGCTGCGCAGCAGTGGCCATGACTGCTGAAGTAGCTGCCTCGCTTGCCAAAGCTCTGCTTGCCTCGGCAGCCCTAGCTCTCCGCTGCTGCTGCTGTCTCTCCCTAAGCTAGCGGAACAGAAACCTGTCACGCTCGGGTCCTAATGCCACGTAAGCTACAGCACTAAGCACGGTGTCAGGCGGCCACAAGTAGTGCGCCGCCTGAAACG